GTCATTCGCTGCTTCCCATGTCATTCACTGCTTCCCATGTCATTCACTGCTTCCCCATGTCATTCACTGCTTCCCCATGTCATTCACTGCTTCCCATGTCATTCATTGCTTCCTCATGTCATTCACTGCTTCCACATGTCATTCACTGCTTCCCATGTCATTCACAGCTTCCCCATGTCATTCACTCCTTCCCATGTCATTCACTGCTTCCCATGTCATTCGCTGCTTCCCATATCATTCACTGCTCCCCATGTCATTCACTGCTTCCCCATGTCATTCAGTGCTTCCCATGTCAGTCACTGCTTCCCATGTCGTTCATTGATTCCCATATCATTCACTGCTTCCCATGTCATTCACTGCTTCCCATGTCATTCACTACTTCCCATATCATTCACTGCTTCCCCATGTCTTTCACAGCTTCCCATGTCATTAATTGCTTCCCATGTCATTCACTACTTCCCATGTCATTCACTACTTCCCATGTCATTCACTGCTTCCCCATGTCATTCACTGCTTCCCATGTCATTCACTGCTTCCCCATGTCATTCACCGCTTCCGCATGTCATTCACTGCTTCCCCATGTCATTCACTGCTTCCCATGTCATTCACTGCTTCCCATGTCATTCACTGCTTCCACATGTCATTCACTGCTTCCCATGTCATTCACTGCTTCCCATGTCATTCACTGCTTCCCATGTCATTCGCTGCTTCCCATGTCATTCACTGCTCCCCGTGTCATTCATTGCTTCCCCACGTCGTTCACTGCTTCCCATGTCAGTCACTGCTTCCCATGTCATTCACTGATTCCCTTGTCATTCACTGCTTCCCATTTCATTCACTGCTTCCCATGTCATTCACTGCTTCCCATATTATTCACTGCTTCCCCATGTCTTTCACAGCTTCCCATGTCATTCACTGCTTCCCATGTCACTCCCTGTTTCCCATATCATTCACTGCTTCCCATGTCATTCACTGCTTCCCCATGTCATTCTTTGCTTCCCATGTCATTCACTGCTTCCCATGTCATTCACTGCTTCCCCATCTCATTCACTGCTTCCCCATGTCATTCACTGCGACCCCATATCACTCTCTGTTTCCCATGTCATTCACTGCTTCCCATGTCATTCACTGCTTCCCCATGTCATTCACTGCTTCCCCATGTCATTCACTGCTTCCCATGACATTCACTGCTTCCCATGTCATTCACTGCTTCCCCATGTCATTCACTGCTTCCCCATGTCATTCACTGCGTCCCCATGTCACTCCCTGTTTCCCAAGTCATTCACTGCTTCCCATGTCATTCACTGCTTCCCCATGTGATTCACTACTTCCCCATGTCATTCACTGCTTCCCATGTCATTCACTGATTCCCTTGTCATTCACTGCTTCCCATTTCATTCACTGCTTCCCATGTCATTCACTGCTTCCCATATTATTCACTGCTTCCCCATGTCTTTCACAGCTTCCCATGTCATTCACTGCTTCCCATGTCACTCCCTGTTTCCCATATCATTCACTGCTTCCCATGTCATTCACTGCTTCCCCATGTCATTCTTTGCTTCCCATGTCATTCACTGCTTCCCATGTCATTCACTGCTTCCCCATCTCATTCACTGCTTCCCCATGTCATTCACTGCGACCCCATATCACTCTCTGTTTCCCATGTCATTCACTGCTTCCCATGTCATTCACTGCTTCCCCATGTCATTCACTGCTTCCCCATGTCATTCACTGCTTCCCATGACATTCACTGCTTCCCATGTCATTCACTGCTTCCCCATGTCATTCACTGCTTCCCCATGTCATTCACTGCGTCCCCATGTCACTCCCTGTTTCCCAAGTCATTCACTGCTTCCCATGTCATTCACTGCTTCCCCATGTGATTCACTACTTCCCCATGTCATTCACTGCTTCCCCATGTCATTCACAGCTTCCCAAAGTCATTCACTGCTTCCCCATGTCAGTCACTGCTTCCCATGTCAGTCACTCCTTCCCATGTCATTCAGTGCTTCCCATGTCATTCACTGCTTCCCATGTCATTCACTGCTTCCCATGTCATTCACTGCTTCCACATGTCATTCACTGCTTTCCCATGTCATTCACTGCTTCCCATGTCATTCACTGCTTCCCATGTCATTCACTGCTTCCCCATGTCATTCACTGATTCCTATGTCATTCACTGCTTCCCATATCATTCACTGCTTCCCATGTCATTCACTGCTTCCCCATGCCATTCACTGCTTCCCCATGTCATTCACTGCTTCCCATGTCATTCAATGCTTCCCATGTCATTCGCTGCTTCCCATGTCATTCACTGATTCCCATGTCATTCACTGCTTCCCCATGTCATTCACTGCTTCCCCATGTCATTCACTGATTCCCATGTCATTCACTGCTTCCCATGTCATTCACTGCTTCCCATGTCATTCACTACTTCCCATATCATTCACTGCTTCCCCATGTCTTTCACAGCTTCCCATGTCATTCATTACTTCCCATGTCATTCACTGCTTCCCCATGTCATTCACTGCTTCCCATGTCATTCACTGCTTCCCATATCATTCACTGCTTCCCCTTGTCATTCACTGCTTCCCATGTCATTCACTGCTTCTCATGTCATTCACTGCTTCCCCATGTCATTATCTGCTTCCCCATGTCATTATCTGCTTCCCCATGTCATTCACTGCTTCCCATGTCATTCACTGCTTCCACATGTCATTCACTGCTTCCCATGTCATTCACTGCTTCCCATGTCATTCACTGCTTCCCATGTCATTCGCTGCTTCCCATGTCATTCACTGCTCCCCGTGTCATTCATTGCTTCCCCACGTCGTTCACTGCTTCCCATGTCAGTCACTGCTTCCCATGTCATTCACTGATTCCCTTGTCATTCACTGCTTCCCATTTCATTCACTGCTTCCCATGTCATTCACTGCTTCCCATATTATTCACTGCTTCCCCATGTCTTTCACAGCTTCCCATGTCATTCACTGCTTCCCATGTCACTCCCTGTTTCCCATATCATTCACTGCTTCCCATGTCATTCACTGCTTCCCCATGTCATTCTTTGCTTCCCATGTCATTCACTGCTTCCCATGTCATTCACTGCTTCCCCATCTCATTCACTGCTTCCCCATGTCATTCACTGCGACCCCATATCACTCTCTGTTTCCCATGTCATTCACTGCTTCCCATGTCATTCACTGCTTCCCATATCATTCACTGCTTCCCCATGTCATTCACTGCTTCCCATGTCATTCACTGCTTCCCATGTCATTCGCTGCTTCCCATGTCATTCGCTGCTTCCCATGTCATTCACTGATTCCCATGTCATTCACTGCTTCCCCATGTCATTCACTGCTTCCCCATGTCATTCACTGATTCCCATGTCATTCACTGCTTCCCATGTCATTCACTGCTTCCCATGTCATTCACTGCTTCCCCATGCCATTCACTGCTTCCCCATGTCATTCACTGATTCCCATGTCATTCACTGCTTCCCATGTCATTCACTGCTTCCCCATGTCATTCACTTCTTCCCCATGTCATTCACTGCTTCCCATGTCATTCACCGCAGGAACAGTAGTAGTAGTAGCAGTAGCAGTAACAGTAGCAGCTGAAGCAGTAGGATCGGCAGGAACAGGAACCGGAGTTGCTGCAGGTGGGGCACAGGGAGGCGGCGCGGCTCGGCCAGGGCGGCGCGGCTCGGTTCGTGCGGCGCGGCTCCGCTCGGACTGGGCTACGCGGCCCATCCAGTGTCGTCGCGAGCATTTCTTGTGTAAACCCGAAGTTCCCCCCGCAGCGAACTTTCACTTTCTCCACTTTCTCCCGTATGGCCAGTGGTGTGCCGTCAACTAAGCGTGCGACGATCTCTGGTAAACAACGGCTAAGCGTCAGTTGCAGCTTCTGTGCAGTCGCGTTATTAACTAAACCGTGATTGCTCCTCCGTCTATAAAAATCTTCACTACTACCCCCTATATTTTTCTGTGAATCAGTATTGGGCAATCCATCACTGTACCTGTTAGATGAAAATGCTGCCTGGAGCAACAAAATGTCGGCGCTGGGATTCGAACTCGTGGCCTTCAAATCTGGCATGAAAGCGTCTCAAGACAGATTCAGGACAGTTTCTGCTAAGGCGCTGGTTATGGTGCACGCGATTTTCAAACTGGAGACCTTTCGATTCAAGTGTCCCGAAAGGGTCTTGTAAGGACAGATTGGGGACAGTTTGGCAAAATCGATCTCGGGTCGCGTTCGGTTTGAAACTCGGCAGCAAAGTGTCGAAGTCAACAGAATTCGCACGAGTTACAGTTAGTGGTCGACGGAATTCAGGACGTGGAAATTCTCGTCTACGGTATTCTAGTCAATGAAATTCGCCTGGCAAAATTCAAGGCTCGGAATTTTGCGTCGACAAAATTCAACGTGCGACTCGGGTCGACACTTTCTTGTGTGCTTTGTTTTTGTATTGCGTCCTGGTATAAAACCAGAGAGCACAAACCAGAAATAAACTAAGTCATTATCACGTACGTTGGCAAATACGAGTATCAGGTATAATACGCTAGCGTATTATACGTTGGGTATATACGCGGTACACAAGGGCCCTCTGGTCCGGTCATCCACTATGGTTGGGAAATACAGACGGAGGACAGACAGACTCAGACTCAGCAACAAGACTCGCGGCGTAGTCTAGGCGACAGCGAGCAGCAACGTCGACGAGCTCAGCAACTAGGGCAGACGCAGCAGTGGACTCAAAAGAAGGGTCAATGACAACAGTAGCAAGGAGACGCGTGACAGTAGGACTGGCAGCACGAAGAGAGTCCGACTCCGGGTCGGTAAGAGCAGGAAGAGAAGACTCAGTAGGAGAAGGCAAAGGGGCACGTAGAGGAGCAGTGGACGGGCGCAGAGACATCCGGTGCGTGCCAGGGACAGGAGGAGGACGCTGACGCGAACCGCGACCACTAGTGCGAGCAGCACGGACAGGCGACGCAGGGCGAGACGCAGGCTCACGACGCTCAGCAAGACCTCCAGTAGGACCAGTGTAGGGAGAAGGAGCAGGCAGTGGGGAGGCCGGCTGTAACTGTAATTGCGATGGGATAGGCTGTGGACACTCTAAGGGAGGAGGAGGACCAGTAGAAGGCGGGAGACCAAGAACCTGCTGAAAGAGCGGAACGAAGTACGGCCGAGGCCGCGCGGCGACTCTAGACACAGCAGGACCAGCACCTCCAGCTCTATTACCTCCACTAGCACCAGTAGCACCCCCAGCAGGACCGCCTCCAGGACCGACAGTAGTAGCCTCCGCACCAGCACCCGCAGCAACTCCTGCTCTAGAAGTACCTGCAGGCCCAGCAGCTCCAGTACTCCCAGTATGAGCACCTCCGGGACCCGCGGCACCAGCACCCTCAGTAGCAGCAGAATCTCCAGTACCCGCAGCACCTCCAGCTCCAGCAGCTCGCCTCCAGCGCCGGGCAAACCACTCACGCAGCTCCTGTGGAGAGAGTGGCTCCCGGCGAGACAAAGCACCCGGAGAACCGCCAGGCACAGCACCGCCAGACGCCACACGAGCAGGCCTAGCTCCCTCAGGCTACACACCCCCAGGCTCAGCACCTCCAGGCGTAGCACCCCCAGGCTCAGCACCCCCAAGCTCAGCACTCCCAAGCGTAGCACCCCCAGGCTCAGCACCCCCAGTCGTAGTACCCTCAGGCTCAGCACCCCCAGGCGTAGCACCCACACGCTCTCCACCCCCAGAGTCAGCACCCCCAGGCTCAGCACCCTCAGCAGCACTAGAGTCACCAGCGACCTCGACAGGCTCAACAGCGTCTACCTGGGACACACCTGAAGGGGCAGGACCCTGAAGGGGGAGAGGGTCTACCGGGGGGGGGACCTGGCACAAGGAAGAGCGGTGGCTGGGGGAGGGACGGAGTGCGGTAGGGGAAGAGACGGTAGTAGGGGACCGACTCGTCGAACGTGACGTCCTGGGAGGACAGAACACGGCGAGAGGTGGGGTGGTAGAACTGCCACCCTGGCGCGTCAGGTGGGAAACCCAGGAAGACGCAAGGAGCAGCACGAGGGGACAGCTTGTCCGCAGACAAGTCGCGGACAAACGCCCGAGATTCCTAGACACGGAACGCAGACGCATCGCCAACCTTCCCCGTCCACAGCAAAGCTGGGGAGGTCTCCGCCATGGAGACCCTGGGCTGAAGGTTGATCTGATGCGTCGCGTACCGGACCGCAAACGGCCACAGAAAATGGGGGGCAGCCGTATGCATCATGGACGTACGGGCGACGTCCATGACCATGCCAATGCGGCGCTAAGCAATCCCATTTTGCTGTGGAGAGTCCGGAAGCGTGAAGGTCTAGCAGATGCCTCGTGCACGACAGTAGGCTCGAAGAAGGCCAGAAGAGAACTCTCCGCCTCTGTCAGAGTGCAGACGCAAAACAGGAAAGTTCGAGCCGAAGCTCTGCCTGAGCTGGAGACGAGCTGCGCGGATCCAGTCGATCAACACCTCAGTGACATCACCCTTGCTGCGCAAGGGGAAGACTGTGGTGTAACGCGAGTAGTCGTCAACCACCAGCAGGAAGTAGCGCTCGTGACCCTGTCCACGGACGCGGGCCGGGCCACACACGTCCATATGAAGCGTCTGCAGCGGGGCCTCTGTCAGAGGAAACTGGGAGGAGTGAGGGGCAGCCCGCTTCTGCCCCTCGACACAGGGGATGCAGGCAGGGCCAGGCCTCGGAGGAAGGGGAGGGAGGGACCGGGGAAGACCAGAGACAAGGACACGGGAGGCCATGCTTCGGAGACGAAGCAGGGAGGGGTGAACAAGGCGGTGGTGCCAGAAGAGAGTCTCGTGAGACAGGAGGCGACACGAGCAGGGGGCAGACCTGGACGCTGCAGCAAACACCTGACCCGACGCAGCTACCTGACCAGATGCAGTGACAGGAGGAGACGCAGTGGTCAGTGTGTACAGGCTCGACCCCGGCCGACGTGTAAACGTGGCCAGGTGTCGGCCTGTCCAAGCGTCCGTGCAGTGGGTCACCCGCTGACTCGCAGGAGTGAACTGGTGAACCCTCGCATCCTGTAGGTCAGCACCACTCACCAAGTTCGTAGAGAACGAGGGGAGGTAAAGACCAGACAGGGTGCCAGAGGGGGCCGCCGGACACGGGAGGACAGTGGAGAAGTGAGCAAGGACAGGACCCCCAGGGGGTCTGCCAGAGAGACTGTAACTGGCCGACCAAGCGGCGTGAGTGTGGTGCGGTCTCGAAAGAAGGAGCGAGAAGCCCCCGAGTCAAGGGTGAAGGTGTGGGAGGCCGAAGCCGACGCGGTACCTGAGAGCGCAGACTCACCAGCACCTCATGAAGCACACGCACTGGCACCTAGAGCAACACCTTCACTAGCACCTAAAGCAGCAGCCTCACCAGTACCTAGAGCAGCAGTCTTAATGCCCGGGTCGGGCGGAAAACAGCGGTAACAGTCACCCTCCTCACTAATAGTCATAGCATACATGGCAGCAAGAATAGCATCAAAGTCAAGGTCAAAGATAGCTACACCCGCCCTAGACAGCTCGCCCCAGCGAGGGATCTTAGTGGCCTCAGGGAACTGGTGGCGCCTAGCGTCAGTCAGGCGGCCAAAGCAGCGCTGGGTGGGGTGCGCACCCCCGCACTGCTCACCCGCCAGGTCGCTGGTGCGTAGGACGTAGGTGCACGGACCAGTACCCCTACCCCGCTGGCGTGCAGCGTACCACTCACGGAGCTGCTGAGGGGGGGGGATGTCAGAGGTTCGCTGCTGCTGCTGCTGCTGGCGCTGACCACCACCGGAGCCGACCCTCTCCGTAGCGCCACCCCGACCAGCTCCACCTCCTCCGCCGCCTCCTCCTCCACCGCCGCCACCTCCGCTCCCACCGCCACCGCCACCGCCGCCTCCGCCACCGCCGCCTCCGCCTCCGCCTCCACTGCCGCCACCTACACCTCCACCCCGGCCACCACTCCCACCACCATCCCCACCCCCTCCATTGCCTCCACCGCCACCTTCACTGCCCCCGCCAGCCCCTCCAGCGCCCTTGCCCCCTTTGCCCTTGCCGGGGCGACGTCTCCCACTAGGGGCAGACGCAGCGCCAACCGACTCGAAGCCAACGAGGTCGGTCGCAGCAGCAGAGGCAACAGAGGGCAAAAGGAGGGAGGGGGAACACCCCTCAAAGATGGGGGTGCGAGGGTCACCACGAGAGGCTCCTACAGCGACTATGCTCTTCTCTGCTGCTAGGAGGGCCTTCTTGAGGAGGTCAACGGTGAGTGTGGTGGGGCGAATTGAGAGGAAGTGGTCCCTGACTATGCGAAGGGAGTCAGGGAGCCGGGTGACTATGTAGTATAGGGTGATGTACATGGGGGGGGGGGGGGGGGGTTCTTGGCGCAGAACTCAGCAGGAAGCGCAGCGCAGTAGCGAGTGTCACTAGTGCGGAGGTGCGTAATGAGGTCAGCGACTGTCGGGAAGGCAGCAAGGTCAGGGAAGAGGTACGGTAGCATGAGGCGGCTCAGTGCAGCAGTGGCAGGGGAGGAGTAGCGTGCAACTACAACATCGTACAAGGTCTGAGCACTCTTGTACTGGCTAAAGTGCGCACGCTCAGAGGTAGGCAAGTGGCGACGCACAGCAAGACATGCAGCATCATCGCGTGTGGCCCACTGTGAGCGAACAGTGGCGTCAGCATCGGCAAGGGGCAGGAGAGGCACCAGAGGTGAGGTCAAAGAGGGAGAGACCGTCTGCCCTATCGCAGTGTAAGAAAAGCTGCAGGTCATCTACCCAGACGTCAAAGTCAATGGCCCGACCCTCAGCGTCAAAGGTGAGGACACCAGGGGTAGCTATGATAGCAGTAGACTAGCAGCGCAAACAGTAGGGTAAGGGCAGTGCAATGAGAGAGGCACTGCTCTTACCGGACAGGGCGGCTCGGGCGGCTCGGCGGCTCGGCAATACGGCGGCTCAGCAGCAACTGCGGCTCGGGCGGCTCGGGCGGCTCGGCGACTCGGCGGCTCGGGCGGCTCGGCGGTCAACTGCTGGGCGGCTCGGCGGCTCGGCTGCTAGGCGGCTCGGCGGCTCGGCTGCTGGGTGGCTCGGCGGCTCGGCTCCTGGGCGGCTCGGCGGCTCGGCTGCTGGGCGGCTTGGCGGCTGGTGTGGCTGGAGACGGCCGCGGCAGCAGTTGCAGGAGCTGTGGCGACTGCTGCTGCAGAGACGGCGGCGGTTGCTGCCTCAGGGACGGCGGCGGCCGGCCGCTAGGGGCCGCGAAGGGCGGCGGAGGGGCCGTGAAGGGCGGCACGAGGGGCCGCCGAGGGCGGCGACGAGCCATGAGGGGGGGTTGCGGAAGGCGGCTCGAGGGGCCGCGAGGGGGCCGTAAGGGGCCGACGGGCGGTGGGAGGAGGCCGTAAGGGGCCGTAAGGGCGGCTCGAGGGGCCGTAAGGGCGGCGTTAGGAGCCGTAAGGGCGGCACGAGGGGCCGTAAGGGCGGCGCGACGGGCGCGACAGGCCGTAAGGGCGGCGCGACGGGCCGTAAGGGCGGCGCTAGGGAGCCGTGAGAGGGCCGCTAAGGGCGACGCGATGGGGCCGTGAGGGGCCTAGCGAGGGCGCGACGGAAGGGAGAGCACACGGGGCGCGACTCGGGCCGGAGCGAAGCGCGCTCTGGGCAGGAAAAAACATTCGTGGTGGTGGGCCCTAGGAATCGTTCCCACTAGGGAACCTGCTCGATACCATGAGAAGAAACGAGGAATGATTGAACTATGAAACAGTTGGGTACAAGTACTAACCCTAATTGGGTTGTACCCCTTATGGGCTACCCCACTACAGCCTACACAAATGTATAAGCTATAATGTCTGACACGCTCCCCCTTGTACGGTTGCACCGGCAGCGGCCCCACCAAGTCCACGTGGACCAGCTCCAAAGGATTCTTGTTCCTCCAACCACACTATGTAAGGGAAAACGGGTAAACTTTGAGAGCAAACATATTTCACGGTTGTCATTGAGTGGCTGTTTTTTCAGCTTCAGATGCTTGACGACTCCATTATCTGGCGTACGTGATACGTAAAAATATGCTGGGTGGGCAGGTAATATTTTTTTTCCGAGCAGGGATAAAAAAACATGTGTGGGGGAGGGGGGGGGGGGGGGGGTATGTTTCCCAAAAACACATGTCATAATTTAATTTCATAAATATCCAGAATACATCTTCGAGGCTACTTCTCCCCATACATACATCCCCACCCCACCCTCTAGATTTCCTTGCGGGGCTTTTCCAACACCGCCCCTTCCCCATACTCATCCGCCAGAACTGCATCCTCTCCTTCCGCCCCCAGCATGTCATCCTCCTCCTCATCCATGTTATAGCTAGGGGGGATAGGGGCATACGGGATGTTACCGGGCATAACCGTGCTGTCCCCATCCTTATTGTACCAATTGCGCACATCGTTCCAGTTGTGCGCAATGTAGACGAGGTCCGCAGCGGACCTGAGCCGGTTGCAGCGGGCGGTGTGGACGCCTTCCCACTGTGCCCAGCCATGTTCGCATGGGGAAGCCGAGACGGGCTGAGTGAGCACCCGGCATGCGAGGGTGGCAAGCTCAGGGTACTCGGTGCTGTGCCACGACCACCACTGCACCATGGTCATCTCCCCCTTCTTCACTGCCTCCCTTGCAGATATGGCGCCTGGCGTGCCAAAGCTGCCCTCCATGTTGATGTAAGCCAGCAGTGCCTCCTGCAGCACAAGGGAGGCGCGGCGAGGGGCGCCATCCTTGCCACGCCTGAAGTTTTTGTTGTCGTAGTGGCGCTCGATTTAGTCGTTGAACACCCGCGTGCACTCCACATCGTTCCTGAAAATCCCATCCACCTGGTTGGCCGGATTCAGGATCCGGCCAACCACATGCTAGGGGCAGGCAAGGGAGTTGTCCCACCTGTCCTTCACAATCCGGGTGATCTCTGCCTTTTCCGCCCGACTCATGAAATCGCCTGCATCATCCAACTTATCATTGATGTCTTCGGTAAGCTGTAGCATGATATCATACATCTTACCCATCATCCCCTTCGCCGAGGAGTCTGTGACCCGCATGGCCTTGAAGGGCACCGCCATGAGAGCGGTAAAAAACCCCGCCAGCCCCCACCACTCCTCATCCATCACGGCAGCCCTGAACTTTGTTATAGTCACAGTAGGCTCCAATGTGCCTAAAACGAAAGATAGAGTGCACAGTCGGATTTCAGCACAGCGGCTTCAAACGTTCATATCGTTCTGGTCACAGCTTCAAATGACTTGATTCAACTTGGATCTAGAGCGTCTTATTGTCGCCTACAATAGGAAATTTAGATCGCACGATTTCATCAAGTATTGACGACACAACGTCAGTTTGAACGAACGGCACTATGGCAGCCACTATAGTCTTAGAACACAAGATAGGAAGAGTTAGCAAGAGTTACGAGTTGGGAATGACTCCCAGCTCCTACAAACCCCAAGAGCCGAGGTGCAGTGATGTGGAACAGTGCCACACTGTCCCCAACCACGAAGGGTCTCGAAACTACCCTTCACTAGGGCCTACACCAAGTGAAATGTTACACTACACAAAGTAATGTAACTATCTTCAATATCTTGAGGTGTACCCTTTTGACGAGCTTCGAAATCACTTGAGGCTTGACACCAAGGCTCGGGCTCTTCATCACAAACTCATCCTTGAGTTCTTGATGGGTCTGCTACACACACCTGCGACACACCGAACGTTCGACACATGACAAAATAGAAACCGCGCACGACAAAATAAAAACCGCGCGCGAGACACAAACGACCGCGTAACACGCGTCTAGCGATAACTCGCTATTGACTCAACACACACACTCGACATCATGACTCAACATTCACACACAATTATAAGCATGAAATATATATTATCCCATGCCCTCTTACCATTCCATACACACACACATGCATGCACACGGACAACAAGCCGAGTGCAAACCATAGGGTTGCACCAACAAACTCCCCCTCGGATTGTTGGCCTTAGGATATGTTGCTCTCTCAGTTCAGAGCCATCCCAGCCAGCTTGCAACACTTCCAATGTTGCTGCTCCACCAGCCTCTTGGTCATCATGTCAGCCGGCTGCCCCGTGGTCTTCACGTAGCGCAACTCAACTTCACCCGCGGTTACCATGCTCCTCGTCCAATGCCACTTCACCCTCATGTGCTTCGTGAGTCCATGCAACACAGGGTTCTCAGCAAGAGCAATGGCACCCTGGCTGTTACAGTACAGTGGGGTATGTCCTTGCTGCTCCTCCCCCAATTCAGCCAACAAACGCCGCTGCCACACAATCTCCCGTACCGCACGGAAGAGTGCCATGTACTCGGACTCCACCGGGCTCAAAGCTTGGTCAACCTGCTTCTTGCTCTCCCAAGCAGTTGGGCCTCCACCAACACAGCATATGAAGCCTCCCACACTTGTCATGTCCTCTGGTTCTGATGCATATGAAGCATCCGAGTAGGCGGTGAGGTACAAACGCCCGGGTTCAACACCATCCGCGCCCTTTTGGCGCCTTTGTGCCGCCGCCGAGTATTGCAGCCCAACGGTCCGTGTTTGGCCAAGATACTTTGCCACCCTCATTCCAGCTGCTACCTGCTCCTCATTAGGGCATTGCACAACCCTAGCCAGCTGCCCGGTAGCAAACGCGACGTCCGGTCGGGTGTTTACCGCCGCATACATGAGGCTGCCCACCAACGAGTGAAATCGGCGCCTCTCCTCTTCGCAAACGCTCTCCTCCTCTGGTCCCTTCACACACTTGAACCCAGAGGGAAAGGGAGTAGCCACATGACCTTCACTCTGGCCAAAGTTGGCAGCCAACACCTCCAGGTACTTCCGTTGGTGCACTCGCATGCTCCGCTTCTCCACGTCTCGTTCGATGTGGAGCCCAAGGTAGAAGTTCACGTCACCAAGGGACTTGCACTTGAACTTATCTTGCAGCTTCAGCATCACCTCCTTCACAAGGTCAGGAGAGGGTGAGAAGATCAGGATGTCGTCCACGTACACCACCATGAAGCTCCTCTGCTCCCCCTCGCCAAGCATGAACAAGGAGTGATCGGCCGTTGAGGGAGTGAAGCCGATCCCCTCCAACACTTCCCGCAGCTTCATGTACCATTGCCTAGGGGCCTGCTTCAGCCCATAGAGGGCCTTCTTCAGCTTCCACACTCTGCCACTACCATCATCAAACCCCTCTGGCTGCGCCATAAAAATCTCCTCCTCAAGGATGCCGTTAAGGAATGCCGTTACGATGTCCATTTGTTTTACTACCCATCCTTTGATGGCGGCTCCCGCGAATAGGGTTCGCAGCGTCGTCGGCTTCACTACAGGGGAAAACAGCTCCTTGAAGGCCAC